AGGCCTTCTATGATCCATTCTTTCAATGGCAGACTAACTCAAGAAAGCAACTAACAAAAACTAAATCGTTAAACTAGCTTTAGAAGTTTCTTCAGAAAAAAAAAATCACTGTCTCATGTAAATGTGAAATTTTCCTATCACACTAACAGACACATGCACAGTTGAATCTCATATCATAGTCACGTGTATTTTTTGTATTTTTTACATTTATAAAATACTAAGCATATATTTTATCATGAATACTCTAGATCTCTTTTTAGTGTGTGTGTGTGTGTGTGTGTTTTTTCCATAAAATCCATATTTAGGGATCCAAAAAGGCAATTGGATACAAATGTACCATTTGCTAAGCATATGTCTAATTAGCAAAAATACTACATAATTCATAAAAGCTAAATAAAATATCTACAAATTTACCTAATTAGTGTATTTTTTTAATTACGAATACAAAGGGACGAAGAATGTCTTTGATGGTAAACCAATTCTAAAACTGACTAGGTTAATAACAACTGGAAAATTCACATATACGGTATTGGAAATAATTATTGAAACGGTGAGGGAAAAGGGTAAAATGGAATAGAATATGGAAAATACACCCCCCCCCCTTTATCATATGAAGATGACCTGCACCAGAGTAGTCACATCTTGATAATTTTCTCTATGAAGGTTGTCATAAAAGATTTACTACTTAATAGGTTGTAATATTTGTTATAAAAGAGCTTAAAAAATTCAATAGTAGTTTTTTAACCATCAAGAAGTAATTTATCTGCTAACAATTTAACATTATCTATAAAGATTTGTGACTGTTTGCAAAGTTTTATTATTACAAACCGTTACATATTTTAATTGGGAAATGACTTTCTTTCAACGGAATGTACAGAATCACATTCGTTGGGGAGGTATAAACAAAGGATAGGAAAATTAAATTATCATATTTTACCAAAAATGTTTATTTCTTTTTGACGTTTTCTAGCTTTACTCCTAAAAGTATGAAATTAAATATTTGTTTTATATTTAGACAAATTTCACTTATTTTACTTTTGTTTAGAGCAGTGATAACAAAATTTCCACTCTCCTTGCTAGTTAACTTGTTTCTCATTTAAAATTTTGGATTTTTTTTTATTCCTGTAAACTCCCAGTGGAGCATAGGGCCGCAACAACACCTCGCCAACAGAAGGTGTTGTTGCAGTTACTTGTAGTAGGTTGGTTTTTACGGGGTGGAGTTGCTAGCCCCCTGCTCAACCCTCCCCCTTTCTCATAGTGAACTTGGGACCAGGCAAAGGCGGAGGTTGGCATGTTTGGTGTGACGGGGATTCGAACCCGCGACCCTCAGATTACGAGTCGAGCGCCCTAACCACCTGACCATGCCGGTCCTTAAAATTTTGGATTATGTCCAAAAAATGGTATATATCCCCCACGTTTTGGGTGTTATTGCTGCAAAAACTCGTCTTTAAAAATGACAAGTGGAAAAATATTTTAAAAAATTTAAAGTGTACGAACAGATGCTACAAAAAACAACAAGAAAATAAGGTAGGAATGGGCATGGTGTAATAAAAATTGCTCTGTATCATCTCACAAGAGGGCGTGTCCAACTTCCGGTCCATGCCTACTTCGTTTATTCTTTCTATCCTGTATACAATAAGCCAGGTGGACTAAACTTATCAAACTTAGTTATGCTTATCGTCCAATCAATAGAGGTTTCTGTGAATCGAATATTGGAGGCAATACATTAGTGTAAAGTCTGTGGACCCATAACTCGTATGCATATTTTTTCTTCTTTACAACTTGTCCCTCCATTTGCAATTGCGTGAGAAGGCAACAAGAGTGTGTCCATTAGCTATATAGGTGGATTAAATCACAAAGATGAAATATCCTAAGATGTTTCTGTGTATCGACATCATAAAGTTGTTACTGCCTATAAAAAAGTAGAAGAATCATAGACATACTTTCATACAAGGTGACATGATCTTGTGCATCATCCATTCATTTGTGTTGATATCCCGTATGTATATCATCAGTGTGCACCATAATATTACGCTACGTATTAAATGCTTCATGAATGCAAACTTGATTTAATTTGCAATACGTATTATACATTCCTTGCAAAAGAGCGTAGCTAGTCTTCTAGACTAGACAGTGAAGCTTCTCTCAAGGCTCACCCTACGTTGGCATACCCCATACTACTCAAAATTTTCAGATCTTGTCACACAGTGCTGTAGATCGAGAAGACCACACCCCTTTCACTGTTTTATTTGACCACACCTACTCAAGATACTGAGTGAGAGAGGGTGAGGTATGTATTTTAAAATGATGTTCCTGTTCAAGGTATTACCTGATGTAAGTTAAATAACTCTTCTTATGGGCAATGTTTACTATAGAAAAACACGTGTCCCTGTGCTATTGCTCTATTTGAGGCACTCATAACTGTGATATGTCTGTTTGTAACACAGCTAACAGCGTTCAACAATGTCAGTGAGTGAGATTGAGAAATTTGTGGTTTTGTGAATTTTTTTTTATCTGTTCTGCTGACTTTCTCAAGTGGTTGTATGACTTGTAATTTTGTTTATCACCAAAAGGTGTCTCTCAAATACTTTTGATGATTTATTATTTGGTTGTTAAAAATGTATATGAGTAAATAGTTTGTATTGCATGTATTATGTATCCACCCTATTCCTACTGTAAAGCCTCCAGTGGCACAGCGGTGTGTCTGCGTAGATACAACGCTAGAATCCGGGTTTCGATACCCGTGGTAGGCAGAGTACAGATAGCCCATTGTGTAGCTTTGTGCTTAATTACAAACAAACAAACCTACTGTAAATACTACCATACTTATGATACATTACGTACTTCCTGACAAATGGCCATAAAGTTTAATCATATTGATTTGTTTATATGCGCGATACTGGATTGATTATATCTGATAAATTGTATATTATTTCAATATGGGTTTTTGTGTTTTTGTTGTTGTTTTTTTGCTAAACATTATAATTTTAAATTTTGCTGTGAGGAGCAGTTTTACAATTTCTCTGAATTTCACTTTTAAGAATTTGGTTTTACTTTTTATATTTTTTCTATCATTGTCATATAGTGATGAATTATTGCCTTATATATTCTTGATGCAAATAGCATTATTTGACTATTTTTGCCCCCCAGTGGCGCAGCGGCATGTCTGCGGACTTATAACGCTAGAAACCGGGTTTCGATACCCGTGGTGGGCAGAGCACAGATAGCCCATTGTGTAGCTTTATGCTTAACTTCAAACAAACAAACAAACATTGACTATGTTTAATTATGGTAAATATAAATACTGATAATTTTACATAGTATATACGATTTCCTATTTCACTATATTAGAAAACTCTTCAACATCTCTTGAACTGTAAAATTTTATATGTACCACTAATTAGTTCCTGTATATCACCACCTAATTAATGTTATCAGAAGTTTATCAAGACAATAACTGCAATTGTTTAACAGTACCACAATCCGAAATTTGTTCTCTCTTTCTTTTTTTTTCTTTTTGTCTGTGGTTGATCTGATAACTTTGATACTTTTAATATTTCACCATAGTAACTCAGTGAGAATTTTTGATACTTTTAACATTTCACCATAGTAACTCAGTGAGAATTTTTGATACCTTTTAATATTTCACCATAATAACTCAGTGAGAATTTTTGATACTTTTAATATTTCACCATACTAACTCAGTGAGAATTTTTGATACTTTTAACATTTAACCATACTAACTCAGTGAGAGTTTTTGGTACTTTTAATATTTCACCATAGTAACTCAGTGAGAATTTTTTATACTTTTAATATTTCACCATACTAACTCAGTGAGAATTTTTGATACTTTCAACATTTCACCATAGTAACTCAGTGAGAATTTTTGATACTTTTAATATTTCACCATAGTAACTCAGTGAGAATGTTTGATACTTTTAATATTTCACCATAGTAATTGAGTGAGAATGTGGCAGAATTATTTCCGTGCTTTCTCTTTCCCAAGTTATTAGACTTTCACAACAGTAACACTTAAAGGTTATAGAGTCCAATAGTTGATACTAAAAAATTTCCTATCTTAATTCTTGTTAATTCTATAGTTCTTATCGCTCCATTAAAAGTGCTCAGATTATCACCCTTCTAACTTTAATACTTAACTCGAAAGTAATTCTTAAATCGTTATTAGATAGAATACATAAAATTGGAACTTTATTCATGATTGATTATAACCATAATAAATGATACTAAAAGTGTGTAATATTCGGTTTTATTCATAAGTCTTTCTAACGTAACCAATGGTCTTTAGTGTCAGATATATAGAAAACCAACTTTTATATTCTGTTGAATGGTACATAGTACTGTTCAACACCGTCTGTGAATTAATTAGAAATAATATTATACAGTAGTTAAAAACTTAAAACGTCATTTCATAACAGTATTACAACATTATAAGCTTGATTTTTCTATAACGTAATTTGCCACAGTTGGTGGATTATGTGCTCGTATAAACGGAGCTACTTTATTGATTAGTTTGCAGATGTGTAGAAGATGTTCCTGTGTATATTAACACCTACTCATTTCCAAATCTTAAGACATTATGACATAAACGAGTCGTGTTTTGATTTAGTTTTTTAAAGTTTGAAAACCTAAGCATAAGTCACTCTTCTCTTCAAGATCCAAGATTTGTTTACCATATATACATATAACTTTTTTATTTAATAAGCATTAAGAAGATTTTAGTAAACAATCCATTTTCAGTCCTAGTTGTCACCTCAAATTCATAGCCGCTATTTTATATTAAGTTCATTATTATTTTATAGTGTTGATTTTAATCGGCTATTAATAATTAATGTAATTAATAGTATTGAAGCTACTTATTTCATTATATATATATATTGAATACTTAGATTCAGAAAGAACAGGAATTTTTATTTTATAATCACGATAGAGCCGTGAACACTTTAGAAAATTCCAATATGGAAACAGAGGTGAACATTTACCTGATTACTGGTCCCAGTAGAACAATATGAAAGAAAATACGAACCACCCAATCTAGCTTCGTCATGTGAGGTCGAGACAACGCCCGCGGTTGAGTCTTCCTCTCCTTTGCGTCGTGCACGTACCAGCGAATACTGAAGATGTTAACTGTTAATGATGGTATAGCTGTAGCTGCTGCCGTCAAGCCGAACCACCACAGATTGTCTTCTACATAGAGAAAGTAGCTCACTGCCACATCGGTACCAACGTTTACTATGTAGGAAACGATACAAACAAAGGTAGCTAAAACACTGAACACGGTGAACCGATCCTGTTCTTCCCATGTCTTAGCGGCAAACATGAAATCATTGTGGTGGAGAGGATATGTTGGGTCTGGGTACTGGTGGTCCAAAATGATGGTCTCGATTTGGCAGCCATCGGTGTCATTTGTCACCTGTGGGTCTCTCCTTTCGTACTGGTCGAAGTGCTGGCGACCGTATCTGTTCTGAGAGGGATTTAGCATGACCATTGGACGTTTCTCCACTGTAAGAAAAATTAGCACTCTGTAAAATTGGGTCTTACTCTAATGAATGATTACAACATTAAAAGTAATCAAAACAATCAAAAATGAAATGTACATAAGACTTCTACCAACGTATGAAAGAGGTATAGATAAAATAAAAATAATTATAAAGTATTGTGTATTTCTTAATGTAAACATGATCGTTATTTTGTCATCTAGTTAAAATGTTCACTTGATAACTCGCACTCTTTCGTGGTTGAGTTGGAAATATCACGAGGATCCGTCTATCCGTTGGTTTAGGCGCAGAGTATAGAACAGTATATAAATCATGAACAGAATGCATCTTTTTTATATGGAGTAGCGGTGTTCATAGCAAAAAGAAAGTTAATCAATAGTATTACATATTTTGTTGTACACCTACGCCACTGAGAAAAGGAGGAGGAGGAAGGAATGTAATAATCAATAGTATAACAGACTTTGTAGCACATGTACGCCGCTAAGACAGAAAAGAAAGAGTGGATCGTCGGCATCAGTAGCATTACACACTTTATGACTGATTCACGTCGCTGAAAAAGACAAGCGAGGGCTTTCAAGAGTAGTGAGTAGCTGTCCAAACTTAGCACATTTACATCACTAAACAGTGGGAGGGGAGGCCATAATAACTGGTATTAAAAGGTGCGTTTAGTGCATCTACGTCTTCCAAAGATATCAGGGGAGGCTATAATAACTGGTATTAAAAAGTGCGTTTAGTGCATCTACGTCTTCCAAAGATATCAGGAGAGGCCATAATAACTGGTGCTATATACTGGAGCGCATCTTCGGCTCCAAAACATACTAAAATAATTTGTAATGACTGGTATTATAATCTGGAGCGTACATATTCCTCCAAAATACAAGAAGGGAGGACCGTAATCACTAGTATTACAAACTGTAGCACATCTTCATTTGTAAAATAATATACGGGGGGATTCGTAATTAGCTGTATACCAAATATTTTACCATACAACAAACCTAACAGAAACTAGGGAGGCAGCAGGGTAACAATGTTTTTAGTTTGCAGCATATGTATGTCAGTGAAAGGTAGGAGGAGAGAGTTGTTTGCGCATTTTCTTCAAGTTGCATAATTTATTTTCAAACGCATAATTTAAAAATTAAAACTATACAGACGCCGTGTTTGGCAGTTTATGAATTATTGCTGTGGGAAAAGTCAATAAAATTTTTCAGTTTTACTCCTCGACGCTGCACAACATCACGAGTGCAGTCAGTCACCCGAGGCGTCACAGTTTATAGTCAATGATCAACACTCTTAAAGGTGCATATCTTATTGCTGTAAGCCAAGGTAGCTAATAATACTTAATAGATATAAGATAAGGATTTGTGCTACTGAATATTTGTATGTATGCGTTATTATCTTGTTCAGTTCAAAATGAATATAAAAATTTGTCAGTATATTTTCAGTTATATGTAAAGATAAAACAATATACATTAATGATCAGTTGGATACAATGAGTAATGTTTAACGTGGGTGGGCAATCTTAGGCTCATCCCTCCCCTCAAAAAAAAAAAAGAAGAGAGAGAGAGACAGAAGGGTAGTTAGGGACTACAATACATTCTTGATACATGTATATTTCTGGCCAGTCTCATCTCTTTCGGGTATTGGAACTTTATTAGATTATTGGCAGGGCGAGGTTCAGTGGTTAGCGTGCTCGGACTATGAAACTTCAAAATGTTTCAGGGTGATGTGACAGTACAGGAAATGCCGCACCTTACACTTTTGTAACATAGCGGTATAATAAAATGTGGAGAACTCTCTAAAATTCACAATTAAGAATATGTCATTGTTAAGTCATTGTCTAGTGAACTACTTTAAACGTTCTTATATTGTGATAGAACAATATATATATATTGGTGACAGCATATACGTGTTCTCACAGAATTATCATGCACATAACTAAATTATGTACATATATTAAAGTATATATATATGATTGATTCAATTCTAAGTTTATCCGAAGCTTAATGTCAATGTGTGAATGTAGCTTGTTACCAATATAAAATTATATCAGAATTAGCTAAGCTAATATTAGTAGTATATATATGAAGTTATCTACCCTATGTTAAGTTCGGTTTAATTTTGAAACCAACAAATGTTGATTAAAAAGTAAGCTAATTATTACGGCTCTGTACTTAAACACCGTTCTGGCGTAATTTAATTTACAAAAAGAAAAGAAAAACAGTATAAATCCATATGTATTTTTTATACTTCATAAAACTCAATTGTGACTAAATTGTACTAGCTTGGCAGCAACGTCTTTGTTAACTCAATAAGATCTCACTAGGTATTCATTGCATAGCGAATTTACATTAGGCTTAAACAATAATATAAAGTTTTGTTTTGTTACTACAAAATTAATCAGACTCAAAGTCTTTATAACTGCTATGTAAAAGCGTTGTTAGACTGAATATTATCCATGATATTAACGAAGTTTGGCTTATTTATTTGTTTAGAATTTTCGTGCAAAGATTGCTATGCAAGAGAACAACCATTGCTACTTTTGAAATGATAGATTAGATAGAAGAAGCCAGATTCTCAACGGCACCAAATACCAACTTTTGGGCTTCGCTTGTCTGAACAATCAGTGGGAGTGGACCGCCACTCTTATAGAGCGCCCATAGCTCCTAAGTGAAGAGCACGTATTTGTAGTAACGGGACGTGTACCATGGAATTTCATAGTTACAGTATGGGCACGCTAACAACTAGGCCATGCCCGACTCCAAAAGTTTGTTTGTTTAAAGAGCAAAGAAACACAACTGGCCATTCTGGCTGTGTCAATTGTAGGGATCGAACCCTAAATTTCACTGTTATAGATCCTCAAGTGTACTGCTCAGCCACTGGAGAACATGAAATTTAGACTATTCACATAGATTTGTATTATGTTTTCCAGTCACTCTCTCTAGCCTTTAAAGTACGTTTTAATTTCTCGTTAGGTATAAAACTTAGATGCTGGTTCTCTTTAAAAGTAATTTTATTATGGTTTTTATGAAATCAAAATTAACCAAGAAGTTGAAATAATATTAAAGATATATATTCAATATAAATATAAATTAAGTAATATAAAAAATACAGGCCTATAACAATTACATGTTTAAACACTTCAAAAGGTTTAGTTTACTTAGTAGATTTGGGTTACGTCGAAATTAGTTAAGAAACCTAGAAATATTTATAATCGTAATTTGAAATTATTAAAAGTCTACTAATATTCACTTCTGTTCTTCTATATTACAAGTGCTTGGTTTCTTACGTAGACTACTGATAAACCTTACTATTAAATCCACAAACTAATTCTTATCTTACAAGAGTCAGGCGTGACCTCATGGTTAGCGTGCCAGGCTTCGAATCGGAAGATCCAAGGTTCGAGCCTTCGACATGCCATTGGACACGTTCTGCTCTTTTAGCTGTGGTTGATTTATAAAAGTGATTTATTATTGGGTTAAGATTAATCATGTAGACGGTGGGAGCTGCTAATTGGTTGTCCTCCTTCTGATCAGTAATTCTAAAGTAAGGACCTCTATGTCTGAACCATGGCCAAAGGTACCGTTTAGGTTGAAAATACAAAACACCAACTATTTATGTTACAAAGTTTCAGACATTTGTATTTATTGTCAAAACAAATTCGTTTAAGCTTAAATCATAATACTAATTCGATATAAATTGCATAATTATAGATATGGCTAATGAATAATGTATATAATAATAAAAACCGAAACATCAGGGTTATGTCAGCAATATATTACGTACAACGAACAGCGTACGTTAATCCTAACCGTTTTATTAATACTTAACTTGTTCGACTCGTATCTTCCAGGTATTGCAAGAAGTCTAACTTAAAATACGGATCGTCAGTTAAATAAAATGAGAGACTAACACCATTCTCACTAACACCATTCACCAAGAAATATATCCATGACCTAGATTCGAACCTTGGAAGTATCGGTAATAATAATGAAAAAAAAAAAGATATCATAAAAATGTATTCTTTTAACCGTTCAGATTTTTTCCTAGTTATAGGAAAGGTGTACGTGATATTTATCATGGTGATTTCATAGACCGTGTGAAACTTCTTTATCTGGTGAAAACAAACTTCTTTACTAGTTTCCTTTGATGAGATATGGATCTTGTTTCTTTCAATTTAATAGAAGACAATCATAGTTTGCAAATAACTTTTCTGAAGAGCGATGAAACACGAGAATATTTAAATAAAATCTCTTTGCCAATATATAAAAAAGAGAAAAAAGCCTTTGATGAAATCCAGACAGAAACATTCGTGACAACCGATCTGCCTGAATTCACTGAAAACGAACCAAATCGAAATACAGTTTACGTGATGTTATACACAACCTTGCCAACGAAAAAACAAAAACAAGAACCTTAGAATCATTCTTTAGATGCACACAGCCACTATGGTACTGACGACTTTAAGATTTATTTTAAAGTTGAAGAAGTTAGCCGCTTTGATATAGCAAGTTTGCGTGTGTTTAATTTTTGTTGTTGTTGTCGTTCATTTTTCTTAGTTTTGAGTTTGGTTTGTTTGTTTTCGTATTTGTAAAATCTTTGGTGTTATATGTTGTTAAGTCAGAAAATTAACTGCTGAAGTTAACGTGTCACAAAGTGGCAGAGGAAGAACATGAGTATTATATATATATAAATATATAGCAGATAATTATAATGCTTAGTCGGAAACTACAATTGTATTACATTACATATCTAATGCTATTGCTCTTCTATGATAGTTGCACTTTTTATCATGTTATTTCTATCTGCTTACTGCATGCAAGATACAAAGCAATAAGAGATAGACCGATGTTTCTAAGGAATCATGACAAAATAAATGATTCCAAAGAAACATGGAAAGTACTAATATTTCTGAGCAAAATAGGAAAGACTAATGTTATCAAAATAATACGAAATAGACTAATATTGCTGGGCAAAATGTTTCCCATTAGAGTACTGGCTAACGTC